TTGTCGTGTTCAGAGTTACTTGGAAACGTCACGAGAAAAAGAAAAGGTTAAGGTAGCATCAGGACGAGCACTGCAGATCAGTCGTTTAACAGCACAAAAAAGGTGCAGGCATCTCATCGTTATTGCTGCAACCAAGCGTTATACAGGCGACCGCCGCTGGGCACTCTTAATCGGGTCCTGAAAACCCGAACGTCAAGCGAAACGAGCGTTAAGGGAAACCGAAAGTATTTGCTGACCCACGTTGGCGACCGCGAGCGTTATAACGAAACTCGCTGAGCGCTAAGTGAAATTGGGGATCAATTTCAAATGAGCGTTATTGTGAAATAGTGCTAAGCAAAAAAGCATTAAGCAGGGCTTGCCTGTACCCCTGGAAATTCAGAGTGAAGGTATTTATGAAAAATGGAAACATGGTGTAGAAGGTATAGGTATAGAGATGAGCCTTCCATTCCCAGTGTATAATAGCCACATCACTAGGATTAAAATACACTTGCAGTCACAGATGAGAGGTAATTGATTTTTAAGTAAGCATTTGGGGTTTTTTCATATTTTTCTCAGTGGTGCCACAAACCAGTTAAATGTTATCTGGTTGCTTTAACTGTGTATCCCTATGTGGAAATAAAAAGAATTAAAAAGAGCAAACAGGCAAGATTTGAGGTCCCAGCATCTCTCAACAAGACAAAGCTTAGTCCCTCAGTCCCTGACAGTCTTCCTCCCTTCCTAGCATTAGTTTCCATCCTTTCCTCCTTCAAAATCCTAGTATGCAGACGGGCCTTGGCAAGTATCATGAAAAGCAACACTTCAGTTTTGAATTCAGAAGGAACTGCTTTCTTTTTCTAATGGGGAAAAAACCCTGCTTTATATCTAGTTCCCTCTGAAATGCAGGAGGTTCAAGGTCAAACCCCTCTCTGACTGCAGTTGTGACAGACTGGCACAAATTGAGAATTCATTTCTCAATTGTGTAGGCCCCGCACTATTTAGAGCCCTCTAGGTCAAGGCCAACTCTAACTTCTACCTGGAGAGTAACAGTCAGCATGTGCAGCTCAGAGAGCACTGGTATCATGTTCTCCCACTGAAAATAGCAAGGAAATTGTTGCTTTCTTCATCAGATTTAACTTCTGGATTGACTTCAGATGTAGTTCCACACAGAGCATGTGAGAGGAAGCCAGTGCTGTGCTGACAAGGAACAGCCTGCAATAGCAAGGTGCACATCTGAAAGAAATCTGAGTCAGGCATTGGTGGAAAAACGTTCTCAGAAACGATGGCTGTATGCTGGCCTAACAGCATTTGGTGATGCAATATCTTCTGGCTGCAAAATGAAGTAACAATTAATAGTCCCATACTCTCAGTGCAAGAGGGAGCTATCTTTTCTGTGTTTTCCTGTTGCCATGGACATTGCCAACATTTTATTTAGATTTAGCTTCAGCCAGGTGGTTTTCATCCATGGCCCAAACTCTAGGCCTGGAGTGCTATAGTATATGCAGGGGACAATAAGACAGATGTATAGAGACCTAGGGAAAGCTCCTAAGCCAAGGGGAATTTCAGTTGAAATTCACTGGAAATTAAGACCCAAGAATGTTCATGGAATACCCAGACGCAGAGCAAATATTTGAACAAATGCATTCTTCCTGAAAGCAAACATATAGAATATTAACCACACAAATTAAGCTATCAGCACTTTTCAAAACAAATCCTTTTGTCCTTAGCTGGTGCAGCGACTTAACTGAGGTGCTGCAAGATCAGGAACAGTAGTGCATGAGAACTGTTTGTCAAAAATTCTTCCCTAATCACTTCCAAAAACTTTATTTGAGGAAAAATTAGTTTGTCTTATATGATCTTTCCTTCTCATAGGGCGCATCTACGTGAGATGCTGTGTTTCCATAGCAATGAACTACGTTGCTGTAACTCATTGCTATTATGGTGACAGTGTTGGCAGGCAGGAACCGTGACGCCAGACCTGCTGCGCAGTAGTAAATCAGGACTCTGCACAGTAATGCTGGTTGCTGCATAATCATTTAGTACTTGCTTAAGTACTAAAGAATTGCACAGTCCAGCACTCGTGTAAATGCGCACATATGGTTTGATCTCCAGCATGTAACCCAGGGGTGGCCTGCCAAGGGATTGTCCGGCCCATGGCAGGTCCCTCTGCCCTGCCTGGCCCAGGTGTGGGGGGCAGCCCAGGCCCGGGCACATACAGCTGCTGCTGTATGCCCAGGGGCAGAGGGACAGCTGGGGTGGCATGGCAGCCAGCCTTGCTCCCCACCAGCCACTTCTGAACTTGGCCCCAATGCTCAGGCTCTGTCACAGGGGTGTGCAGGAAGCAGGTCACAGCTCTGCCCTGGGCCTTGGCCTTGCACCGTCAACACACTGCGATCCACATCCTGGCCTCAATCCCACCCGCCCTGCTCCCAGATGCCACTCCCATCCCACAGCCCCATCCCATTTGCCTGGCCATGCATGGGGCAGAGCCACTTAGGGAGTTTTGGTGAGCTGTTGGGGGTGGGGGGCAGTGGAGGGAGGTGCTGACCAGCCCCACAGCTCACCAAAACTCCCTAAGTGGCTCTCTGGCCCAAATAATTGCCCAACCCATATCTAACCCAGTGTTTCTCAACTCATGGGTTGTGACCTAAATGTGATTGCAAGAATATTTGAAAGGGTCACAAACAATCAGAAAAATGCAGGAAAGTGCAGGTTTACCCTTGCAGGCTGACAGAGCTCCGGCCTGCAACGGGCTGCTTGGGGCTGGGGGGGGGGAGCAGAAGGAGGGTGATCAGGAAGGGGGTGCCACATGCATGTGCTCACACACATCCACATGGCAGCCAGGCAGTGAGGAGAGCAGCTCCTGCAGCTCCCCATAGGTAAGTCTATGGAGCGTGGGAGACATAGGTAACACATTTTCGGGGGGGGTGGGGAGGGGAGACGCAGGCAACATATCAGGGGGACAAGGGTGAGACACGTGTCCCTTCAGATTTGTGCACCCACAGCAGGCATGGGACTGCAGCCTGGCCAGATCAGTACATGCAGGAGCCACCTCTGTGGCCCAGCGTGTGGATCCCAGTGCAGGAGGGTGGAGCGGGGCAGCAAGACTTGTTGCTGCTACTGCCATGAACCCTGCGCCAGCACGAAGAGTAATGGACAGTGGGTAGCCCACGCTGCCCTCACCTCCTCCTGCTACCAACTGCTTGTATGCCGGGCTGTGGCTCTGTTCCGCCACTGTGGCTCAGCAGCTGCCGTTGTCACTCCCCTCAAGCCACCGGTGCTGCCTGCCATCCCACCTCCCCTCTGGGATAGAACCGTGGCCTAAGGGGAGCAGCAGCAGCTAGGCCATGGCACAGGGTAGAGCTGTGGCCCAGCGTGCAAGTGGCTGGTGGCAGGAGGAGGTGAGGGCAGTGTGGACCCCTCCCCCCCCGGTCCATTACTCCTCATGCTGCTGGTGTGGGGTTCACAGCGGCAGCAGCAGCGAGTCTCACTGCCCCACTCCACCCTCCCGTGCTGGGACCCACCCACGGGGCCACAGGGGCTGCTCCTGCCATGCTGGTCCAGCCAGGCTGCAACCCCATGCCCACTGTGAGTGCACAAATCTGGTGGGGAACATGCCTCTGCATGCCCCCCACCCCCCACCCTCAGCCCCACACACTAGGGAGTTGGAGGTCAGAAGTGAGGGGCAATGGCAGATCCAGGGGGCTGTTTTCTACTTAAACTGTCTACTCGGTGGGGACTGGCCATCAGTGTTTACAAGTGGGTCTTAGTACCAAAAAGGTCAAGAACTGTTGATCCAATCCTTCCTGGGGAAGGGCACCTGTAAGATATTACCTGTAATTCCCAAATGTAGCCACTAGATGCCATCATTGTCTCACAAAGAAACAGCAAACTAGGACAAGAGCAATCAAACCAAATCAAACATCCGCATCTTAGGAGCCTGATTTCCAGAGCAGCTGAGCACTCAGGACTCCTGTTGATATCCCTGGGATCCACAGGTGCAAGCACTTCTGGAAATCAGGCCCTACCTGACCATGAAGTGAGCAGACTATTATTTTCTGATTAGTTCTGTTGCCCTCCTTCAGTACAACACACAGCCCCCACCATTTCCTCGCTTTGCTGACTGAACCATTGCTGTCCCTGAGGATCTCTTCAGATTCCCAAAGGATCCTGGGGATTTCAGCAAATGCAAACAAATATCAAGGCTAATTCCCTTGATATGCCTGCTTCATCTGTAAGTGAAAGGGAAACCACAGTCCCAAATGAACTGCTCAGCAAATAAATCAGCTACCAGACAGTCTCAGTTCCTATTCATTCATCCATGCTAACAGCTCTCAACAGCTCACTTCTGTCCATCCATCCAGCTGTCAGAAGGAAAAGGCTTTTTCCCCATGCTGATAGTATAGTGGCTGTTTCTCTAACCATCCATAAGCTATTCTGGGTGCAATTCAAAAGGAGGATTGTTTGCCACTACAGAATTGCTACAACTCTGTTTCCTGCTGTCAAGCTGCATGGCCGGGGCAGATTATCCCTATAGCTAGCCATTAATAACGTAGCTTCCTATTAATCTCCCTGCTAATTTCTTTCCCATAAGGATAACCAGTAAGTGTGTGAGCCCACAGGGTTAAGAGGTTGTAGTCAATATACAGGTGGTATTCTCCTCTCTTCTTCCAGTGAGTTGGCGGGGAAGGCGACACAAGGCCTGCGTTGGCGAGGTCAGCCGGCGCTTATGCAGTTGGTGCTACCAGGCAGGCCTTGGGTTCCTAGATAATGACCCATGCTTTTGTGGGGAGGTACTTGCTGGGGTGGGATGGGCTTCACCTCTCTCCTAAAGGCAAGCGTGTCTTCTCTTCCAGGTTGGCTGATGTCATACAGCGAGCTTTAAATTAGCCTCGCCGGGGGAGGGGGCTGCAGGAAGACGAGGAGACACCACCCAAGCAAGACAGGTGACAAATGCAAGGAGTGCCCAGGTGACAAATGCAAGGTAAGAAACAGGGGTCCAGACAGTCTCCCAAATCGGGGGGTGGCACACACAGCTAGGCAAGGCCTTAAATGCCTATATACCAATGCTCATAGTATGGGGAACAAACA